TGCATCAGAAAACTTTAAAATTTCACATGCAAAATCCTTATAATGTCCAGATAGTTATCAAACGTTTCTTGTGAAAAAACTTTGTTTTATCTGTTATTTTCACTAATGAATCTCTGTACGGGTTCAGTCGATTTGACTGATCTCGTAAACACCATAAAAATTAAGAAATAAATATAAATTATGCCTTTTTTGTTCTAGAATGACTACAAATTAAAACACGAAAACATAAATGTTTAAACTGAATAGCATAAATCTCATAACATTATACATTTATATATATATTTATTATTTTTATTAATTGACCTTTCAGCCATGCCTGGCTAACAATACAGAAGTTACAATGATGAGGTCCACGTGCACTCATGTTACCGTATCCAATAATATAAAACTGATCTTTATTCTTTACAAAGTGACTGTGTTTTAGTAGACTAGTATTTTGTAAAATACAGTCAAATTTCAATTATTACAGATTATAGATCTATGTAGATTATTGCTATTTACAAACAAGTTCTTAAATTTATTTTTCATAAAACATAGAATAGTAAACAAAGTAAAGCAAACAATTATCTCTAGTTACGACCTTTGTACTCGGTTACTGCTTGTCATAGCTTGCTATGCCTTAAGAAATTTTGCACGTGGAGGATGTGAAATGAAATAATTATTTTTAGGTTTTATATATACACACTTGAATAACCAAAACATCATAAATTACTATACTGATACCACAGAATTCCACTATAATTTATCAAGTTTAGTAACTAGGATGTATTTGGGTCTAAAAAAATATGAAATTTCAAACAGGCTAAAGACTCAACTTACCAGCACGAGGCTTTGTCTCGAAAGAGAGATGATGCCATTATTTTGAAAATGGCTGAGAAAGCCAGTACGGAGTCAATCTGAGCTTTCAATTGGTTATTCACATGTCATATATAGAAGTAAGTGTATATAAAGGACTGTTTCCAAAATTGGAAAGAGGTGAGTGGGGCCACTGTGTTTGATTCATGAGCAACATCACAGCAAATAGAAAATATTTATATTCTAGCTTGTCAATATTGGTAATTTGAGTTCCTAATTCATCCAAAACTAGACTTCGTATTCTGACATCACAAACATCTAATTTGAATCTAATCTACATGACACACAAAAATCGATGTGTAGGTGTGTTTTCTTAATATTTTATTTTCAATCAAGAAATTAATTAATGTATAATATAAAAATTTTAATTATAATCTATGGTATAATACCAAACTTAATGACACAGATTCATAAAATAGTAGATCAATACAATTTTGAATGCAAGTCAACAAATGGGATGACATGGCCTTTGACCCATGACCCATCTGGAAAGGGTTAAGAACATGGGAAACATTTTAACAATTTCTCGACGGAAAGGAGCAATAAACATACCATTTTGAAAGCCCTTAACCTTTTATCGTCCAAGCAAGTGTTTTTTTTTCATTACTCTAATTGGCATAAATGTATGGGTGGAGCAGTTATCAATATCAACCAATAAGAGTGGCTTATTTTGGGGTCACTCTAGAAACAGGCTTTGTTAGAGTCACTCTAGAAACAGGCTTTGTTTGAGTTAATAAGGGAACAGACTTTATTTGAGTTACTATAAGAACAGGCTTTGTTTGAGATGACTTTCAATAAGGTACTTCAACTCTTTCATCAAAACAGGCTTTGTTAGAGTCACTCTATAAATAGGCTTTGTTTGAGTTACTAAGGGAACAGGCTTTGTTTGAGTTACTAAGGGAACAGGCTTTATTTGAGTTACTATAAGAACAGGCTTTGTTTAAGTTACTATAGGAACAGGCTTTGTTTAAGTTACTATAGGAACAGGCTTTGTTTAAGTTACTATAGGAACAGGCTTTGTTTGAGATGACTTTCAATAAAGTATTTCAACTCTTTCATCAAACCAGGCTTTGTTAGAGTCACTCTAGAAATAGGCTTTGTTTGAGTTACTAAGGGAACAGGCTTTGTTTAAGTTACTATAAGAACAGGCTTTGTTTGAGATGACTTTCAATAAAGTACTTCAACTCTTTCATCAAACCAGGCTTTGTTAGAGTCACTCTAGAAATAGGCTTTGTTTGAGTTACTAAGGGAACAGGCTTTATTTGAGTTACTATAAGAACAGGCTTTGTTTAAGTTACTATAGGAACAGGCTTTGTTTGAGATGACTTTCAATAAAGTACTTCAACTCTTTCATCAAAATAGGCTTTGTTAGAGTCACTCTAGAAATAGGCTTTGTTTGAGTTACTATAAGAAAAGGTTTTGTTTGAGTTACTATAGGAACAGGTTTTGTTTGAGTTACTATAGGAACAGGCTTTGTTTAAGTTACTATAGGAACAGGCTTTGTTTGAGATGACTTTCAATAAAATACTTCAACTCTTTCATCAAATGACGGTTTAAGACATCATTTCATTGTTGTCATATAATTTAATTTGGTGTCAGAAGAAATACATCACGACACGAAATGATAAAAAGATGTATATTTACTTACTATCATCATTAGGAAGCCAAACAGAAGGAATCCTGCCCACCACGCTCCCACCCACTCAGAGGTACTGGAAGTGACATCCTCAGGTAAACTGCCATAAAGGATTGCATCCTCATGAATGGATAGAAGGTATCCTCCAAGAAGAAAGCCACAGATAAGGCCAAAAGCCACCATACTGTACATACAACCTGAAACAAAAGTTACTACAGTAAGCTAAAATCTGTATGCTCTGCAATCAGTCAATTTCAGCTAAAGTGTGAAACTTGTATGTGCATAATATTTTGATTAAGTATCCTAGGTCCTATGTTCTGTATCGATAGAAAACACTACAGTCAAAATTAAGTGTTTTGATCCATAGACACATAGTTGTAGAATATGTATTTTTTCTTCAGTTTTCAGTAAGATATTTTGTACGGTATTAAGAAACAAAACAAAAATGTAAAAATAATGCATATCATCAACAAACCTTGCGTGGTCAAATTCTATCTATTTCTAAACCATAAATTGAATATCTGTCTTTCTTGAGGAGCAGTTTGAAATTATAGGGAGAGGCTCTCTTATTGTTGAGGTCTCAATGATCACATGCTGAATACTTCTATCATTGTTTGTTTGTTTTTGAATTTCTTGCAAAGCTACACGAGGGCTATCTGCACTAGCCATCCCTAATTTGGCAGTGTAAGACTAGAGGGAAGGCAGCTAGTCATCACCACCCACCGCCAACTCTTGGGCTTCTCTTGTACCAACGAATAGTGGGATTGACTGTCACATTATAACGCCCCCACAGCTGAAAGGGCGAGCATGTTTGGTGCGACGGTGATTCGAACCCGCGACCCTCAGATTGCGAGTCGAGCACCCTAGCCACCTGGCCATGCCGGGCCCATCATGATAATTAAACTGGAAACATATCAGTTGGTTAAGAAACGAGAATGTCTACAGCAAAATGGTTACTATGAAATCTTAGATATATAAAGGTTGAGTACATTATATTAAAATAATTTTAAACAACTTCAACAAATTAAGTACAGCCACAGCCTATACATAAAGTCACAGTGGAACGGTATATATTAGAACTATATTTTAACATTGTTTCTCATTTAATGGGTAGTGTTATGCCATCTAAAAACTGATCATTTTTATGAAAGGTATGTAACAGCCTTTTATGACAGAAACATTCATATATTCAGATCATAAAGATGTGTTCTCATCAGGGATTTAGAAATTTAAAGATGGGAATATATCCATTGTAATTAATGGCACTGAAAAACAAAAGAATGTGGATCAACTTGGGACAAGACCACCCAGAAAGAGACTTTCAACAAGTCTTAACCCAGTCATGGTAAGAAGTGTATCATCTTGTAAAAGGTGAGAATCCACAAACTGAAAGGTCAGTGTCAAAAGTCGTTCATGTGCCAAAGGTAACAGTATGGAACATAATCATGGGGAAAAAAAAGACAAAAATCACATTAACACAAGTTCCTTCCATGACATATATATTTAACCATTGAATATCTCATGCAGCTGGAGAATAAAATGGTCATTCATGCTGTTTCATATGAAGATATAAAAATCGAGATGCCAGGTGCAGTGCCTACAGATTTCTGTATGTTCACACTACTGAAAGATATTCTGGAAAATCAATGTCCTTATACACTACATGGATTATTAAAAAAGCATGTAGGGAGTAGTATAGGGCTTAAGACATGACATCCTTATGACAGCCTTTAGCAATGGAAACTATGAAAGGCTATTGTCAAGATGCATGGTCATCAGAAAGAGCATGACAGACATGGCAACATGACTGTAATGATATTTGAATATAAGGTAGTCAACCCTCTGTTTAAGAAATTTTATTGTCATTAATATATTTGAATGCTTTAAACTATCAAATTTTTTTGAACTAACATGTAACTTAAAAGCTTATAATTACAGAATTGTGCAACTGCATTAGACAACATGCCTTATAGAGTCAACTTTGATCATCACAGAATCATACAACTGTATTACACGTCATGCCTTATAGTCAACTTTGATCATCATAAAATTGTACAACTGTATTAGATGATATGCCTTATAGAGTCAACTTTGATCATCACAGAATCATACAACTGTATTAGATGATATGCCTTATAGAGTCAACTTTGACCATCACAGAACCATACAACTGTATTAGATGATATGCCTTATAGTCAACTTTGATCATCACAGAATTGTACAACTGTATTAGATAATATGCCTCATAGTCAACTTTGATCATCACAGAATTGTACAACTGTATTAGATGACATTCCTTATAGTCAATTCTGACCATTACTAAGTGATGTAACTGTAACAGATGACATGTCCTATATACAGTATTCACCCCCCTGCAAAGTTTCCACATTTTCTTGCTGTCCAAGCTTGCAATCATGAAATTTTCAAATGGGACTTTATATGTAGAATATACACAATCTACTCCAAACTGAGAAAGCTGAAAAAATGCTGATATTATGTACGTAAGTTAGGTTTTCAGAGAAAATTAGAATATTCTCAAATGCATAAGTATTCATACCTTTTATTATGGTAACCTTAAATACATTCAAGTGCAAAAGATTAGTTTGAAAGGTCACAAAATTAGTGTAATGGTCTCTGTCTGTGTGTAATCAAAGTGGTTTAACTTGACTTCAGAGTAAATGCATCTGTTCTAGCCACATCTCACATAGTGATACAACAAACCAACCATGAAGACCAAGGATCTTTCTAAACAAGTCTGGGGATAAAGTGGTAGAGGAGCACAGATCAGGAGAAGGTTACAAGAAATCTTCAAAGTCGTTGATTATCCTTTTGAGTACAGTGAAGTCCATCATTAAGAAGTGGAATGTGCTTCGTACCACCAAGTCACTACCTAGATCAGGTTGCCCTTCCTATCTAAGCAGCCAAACAAGTAGGAAACTGGTTAGGTATATCACTATGAAGCCAACAGTGACTTTGAAAGATTTGCAAAGTACCACGTCTGAGATGGGAGTTAGTATTCATAAGTATTCTGGTCCCTACAAAAAGCTGGCATGTATGGGTGAGTAGCAAGAAAGAAGTCATTACTGAAAAATATTCATCTTAAATCTCCTATCTAGTTTGCGACAGAGCATGTAAATGACACTGCACACAAGTATCAGAAGGTTTTGTGGTCAGACGAGACAAAAATTGATCTTTTTGGTCTAAATTCAAAGCATTACATCTGGTGCAAGCCCAACAAAGCACATCACCCAGTCAACACCATCCCAACTGTCAAGCAAGGTAGTGGCAGCATCATGTTATGGGGATGCTTCTCATCAACAGGAGATGGGAAGCTTTTCAGGACTGAGGGAAGATGGATGGTGCAAAGTACAGGTGAATCCTAGAAGAAAACCTGCTTGAGTCAGCCAAGAATTTAAAACTGGGTCGAAAATTCCCATTTCAGCAGGACAATGACCCGAAGCACAAGGCCGAACTACACTGGAGTAGTTTCAAAAGAAGATAGTGAATGTTCTGGAG